CGGTTCAAACCCACCAGCCACTCCTTGGAAGGAAGATGGGGCAATCTACTTCCGTAGTGATACTGCCTCAAAAACCCAAGGAGGGGTCGCTATGCATTGGGTCCAACTTGATGGCACACAACAACAAACAACAGGCTTAAAATGACCCATCCCATAGGTACAAAGGAGGAATCTCGTATGAAAGAAGAGCCAGAAGTGGAGCAGATCCCTTGGACTCAAGATCCCTGTGCTCAACCTCAACCCAGGGGACACAGAGAGAGAAGCAGTGGCAGAGAAACTGCAGCAGCAGAACCGAGAGACCAGCATGAGACAGAGCAGTGGGCTTCCAGGCCCACAAGGCAAGAAAGCTGAGAACCTTTGGGCAGGAGCTTCTCAGCAGATGGGGACACCTCTCTGGGCACCTACTGGTAGAGCTAAAAGAGCTTTGTAACATATGCCTGAGCAAGGAAGAGGCTACGGGGCCAAAGGACCAAAAGGCTGAGGCCAAAGACCAGTGTGCCTATGGCACAGCTAAGAAGCTGTCCTGACTTATTTCTGATCCTGACTTGTAACCTTCCCTAGTAAACTGCTAACTGTGAGCATTGTGTGTGGCCATTTCAACAAACTATCAAGCCTAGCAGAGAAATAGAGTGCTGCCCAGGAAGTGACAGAATTGGTAAAAACATTGAACAGCAGAGGCATGTCTGACTTCCGCCTTACAGGAATCAGCCTCAGGCTGATCTTGACCCTTCTTCCCCACCTTGTGAAGTTAGAGAAGGTCAGATGCCACCCCACACCATTTTTCCACACACCTTCCTAGTCTGACCCATTTTAGAATACTGGTAACCAGTAGGAGGGAAGAGTTGTATGTGCTCTCAGTAACACACTCCCTACTACCTTCTTCAGCCGCTACAATTACACATCAGCAATATATACCTCTTACTGATCCCACTTCCCGTCCCTCCTGTCCCTCTCACTTTCGAATGATACTGAATTCATTGTCAATCATCAGCAAAATCCCCTATATATCCTTAACCTCTTCTCCAAACTTTCCCTTCACATTCTTGCCCTGAATGAACCTCAGTTCTCCTCCAGACATACTTTTTCCTACAACCCTCTCAAAGGACGGCTGCTTTTTCTCCCACACCCCTCATAACACTGAGCCTGGAGGTAGGTAGGTGTTCTCAGTGTTCCCCCTTTCCTCCTCAGCTTTGATTCTTATGTCATCCATTTACACCACCATTGTTGCTGTCACTCCTCATCATTCCTTGGCAACTTTAGCTCCTTGTTCAATTACCTTCACCAGCTCCTTTCCCTGTCCCTTACTTCCAGATCTCCTCTGTCAATGGTCCTCACAGACCATTCTACTCTAGCCACATTGTCTTCCTTGCTGGTCACTGAACTCAGCAGGTATGCTGTAAAGCCTTTGCACTTTGTTGTCTCTGGATGGACTGCTCTTGCTTCAGACACCCACCCTTTCTTCAGATCTTTGCTCTGATAGTTTTGTTCTTACTGGAATAGATACTTATTCTGGATATGGATTCGCTTTTCCTGCACGCAATGCTTCTGCTAAAACTACCATCCGTGGACTTACAGAATGCCTTATTCACCACCATGGCATCCCGCACAGCATTGCTTCAGATCAAGGGACTCATTTCACAGCACATGAAGTG